CGTATTTTTAATCATTTTTAGATACGCAAATTATAAGTGTTTTAATAGAAGAAATAATTAATCGCAAACAATACATAAAATAATAGTTAAAAATGTAACGCAATTTATAATGAGTGAATAATTAATAATATATATAATATAAACATTTAAATAATAATTTATAATAACTGTGTTTCGAAGTATATCTTCTGTCTCTTTCTAACTAACGCGCGCGCCATCGATCGGTGATCTACTCTAAACAATGTTGCCCGCGTGAGCTACCCCATCTCATTACCACGCGAAATTTTATGGTGCGGTCGGTAATTTGCGGTCGGTAATGAAATAGAAAAAGATATACGCATTAGCATGTTTCTTTATTTATCGACAGGATTTAATGTGATGTGCTCGGGGACGTGACAGTTTTTATTTCGAAAAGGAAAACATTTCACAGGATAAGAATAGTTGCACGTAATAACCAGTGGTCAATCCATAAAACGTATGTATATGTTACGGTGAAAGACCGAAATCTGGTGAACATTCACATAGTCGCTTGGTGTATGTCCGAAATATTTGCTAGATGCCGTTTGCTAAATACCATTATTTCGGACTTACACCGGTAAATGTCGACATTCACCATGCACTGATAGTGAATGTTGAACACGTCGGAGATTTATATTTTCTTCTCTGTAATTCAGTCGCTATAAAACGTCACAAGGGTGACGTAACTTTAACGCCTCTCTTTCTGAGAGGAGTGACCAAGAATTTAAAACACACAGTATATTCTAAATGAGAAAGGAAAATAATAGTAATAAAAAAATTACTTAATCATGTGATTCAAATCTTATTTATTGCAACAACTTAAACTATTATGACACTTTGAATTGCACAAGAGTCCCTTGCTTTTACAACTGCATTTATTTGTGGAACACTTCCTTTTGCAATTACAGCGTGTATAGCCTTGCCCCCCGCTTCTCGAATTAGTTGCAGCTGCTTCTCTCAACGATATTTCTTGAAAAGAAATCTCATCTATGGAAAGTAACTTTTCTTTACAAATTGCGAACTGATTACGTGTGTAAAGTTGCCTGAGGGTACCATTTTTATTTGCCAGTTTATAAAAGTCGGAGTCTTCTATTCCAATAACAACCGCTAACACATTTCGGCTATCTGTACGACCACGGTCGACATCAGGAACTTGTATTCGGACAGTATCACCAATTTGAGCAGGAGGAAATTGGTTTTGTGAGGTTTGTAACATTTTTGTTGCTTGCAGTAGAAGATTCTGTTTCGCGGCCGCTCGTTTTATAGAAATTAATTCGTGTTTTTCAGTCAGAACTTGATGTGAAGACGTTGTAGATTGTAGGTACTCTTCAATATTTTTCTTCGGAATATGATTTTCGTTATGAACACCGCTCAAATTTTTTTCAGAAGTATTAACAGTTTCTTCAAGCTGTTCTTCGGTTTCAAAAGTATTGGCAATTTCTTCGAGTTGTTCTTCGGTTTCAATATTTGCGATTTGTTCGCTAGGCAAAAAAGACGATGCTATGCCTCTTTTTACTTTAACGCCAAACATGGCTTCATAAGGACTTTGGCGTATTCCTGCGTGGTATGTAGTGTTCTTTGCAAATTGAACAAAGGGTAAACCATCTGATCATTTATTTGTATCGTTATCGTTCATCCATGCAGTTAGCATATTCTATTCGCGGCCGCTCGTTTTATAGAAATTAATTCGTGTTTTTCAGTCAGATCTTGATGTGAAGATGTTGTAGATTGTAGGTCCTCTTCAATATTTTTCTTCGGAATATGATTTTCGGTATGACCATCGCTCAAATTTTTTTCAGAAGTGTAGGATAAAAATAAATTTAAACACGATTGTGTTAAAAGAAAAGATTTAATAATGATAAATAATTTTGAAACGCAATGAGGAGTATCCGTGGGATTATGAAACAATGGAGCCGATGCCGCGCGATCTTTCTACGACGCCGTCGTGGTACACAATTCACGCTTTTTTCCGCGAAGAAGCAAACAATTGCCGATCACGGTTTTCATGGTAACGCATGCACGCAGAGCGCGCGCAGCCGAACGTGCATCGGTAAAGCTACCCATTAGGTGTCCTGATATTTCGGCACCACAGAAGTATTAACAGTTTTTTCAAGCTGTTCTTCGGTTTCAAAAGTATTGGCAATTTCTTCGAGTTGTTCTTCGGTTTCAATATTTGCGATTTGTTCGCTAGGCAAAAAAGACGATGCTATGCCTCTTTTTACTTTAACGCCAAACATGGCTTCATAAGGACTTTGGCGTATTCCTGCGTGGTATGTAGTGTTCTTTGCAAATTGAACAAAGGGTAAACCATCTGATCATTTATTTGTATCGTTATCGTTCATCCATGCAGTTAGCATATTCTATATATCCTGATTAGCCCTTTCAACTGAGCCTTGTGTTTGACTGTGACGAGGCTTTCCATGAACTATCTTAACATCTTTCCACATATCATATATTTCGGATATTGATTACTGAATTCTCTACCATTATCTGATTGCAATATTGCTGGTGCACCAAAGGTTAAAAATATTGAAAGAACGTGATGCGCTACTTCTTCAGCTCTTTTAGTTTTCAAAGGTCGTAGCTGGACAAACTTAGTTAAATGATCTTGATACACCATTATGAACTTATATTCGCCATCTCTGTTTGACTGCAGATCTATCAGATCAACTTGACATCTTGAGTTTAACTCAGAACTGACCATTGGTTTCACAACAATACCTTTCTTAGGTACATTGTGTTTCATTTGACACTGTTTGCATAAATTTAAATACAACATTACAACTTCATATGTAATATTTTTGTATTTATCTTGCAGCTCTTTAAGCATACGTGTTCTTCCTCCGTGGCCTATTCTGATGTGAGTTTCACATAATATAGTGAATAATTCTTCGTTGTTAACATAATACTGGATATGCGTTTCCCCTGGTTTTAATGGCACAATTAACTTCTCTTCATCATTAATTTTTAAAACGTCAAAACGTTTTAATCGTCTATAATCCAAAGGTGTGGTGCACTTAGGTTTAGCCGAAACCACTTCCGAAAGTATTTTAGAGTACTTTTCTTTAGAAAAATAAAAACAATTATCTTCTCCTTTACCCGTAATTAATGTATTTAACTTTTCAAAAAAAAGATCACGATTTACTGCAATATCCATTTTGTATAAATTACGATATTATAGGATTTCTTGATATAAAATAAGATTTGATGAAATAAGAAAGATTTCTTGTAATGAAATATACGCACGTCCGATTAGAATTAGGTAATTGTATGAAATATATTTGAGAATATAACGACACGTTTTACAAACACGCTTCCTTCGCAACAACGCTATTATAACACTGATCGAATTTTTGACAAAACACGGAGGGCTCACGCCACGCGGAGAAGAAGGCGCGCCGCTCTCCCCGAACCGCGAGGCCTGCATCGCCGGGATGCTATTACCAACTGCCAAGTGTTATTATCGTCCTTACTATATTACAATATCGGAAAAAAAACTAAGAAAACGTTGCTCGCATTATAAAAGTTCGCATTAAGATTGACAAAGCTGACTGATTCCCAGCGGAACAAAGGATTTGGCGGGAGAGAACCAGTCGCTTCTTTGTCGGCTCCTCTCTTTCGGACATATCTGTGATTGTCGACATACACCGGTGAAGGTCCGAATGTACAAGAATGTAATACAATATTCGGTCTTTCACCGTGACATATACACCTATGTACTGTAAGTACAACTAACGTACGCCTATGTACAAAAGATTTAAACATGTTAAAATATTTATAGTATAATTATACGGCAATGGTATGCAATTGCTGCACAAGATACGTTTAAACGCTAAATATTCATGTTGTTTTTAATTAAATTTCTCGAAAACTGAGGTTGATGGAAAGGAACAGGTTTTAGGCTCATACTCAATACACAAATACTTTACAAACTAGAACCAAAATAAGTGCTCTCTAATTAGATTCTACTTCCAAGTAAAGTATTATTAATACAAATAATTTAATAATAATAGTTAACATAGAAAGTAAACAACGCTTTTACGAAATACGAAACTTGTTTCCTTTTAAGGATAAATGCTTTGAAAATATCAGTTAATTACTTTCTATGTATAAACCTTTGTAAACTGCAAATTCTTATTTTATTGCGAACTTTGTAGTAACATCAACAAGATAATTAAAACAGAAAAAGTACAACGCAGAGAAAAACACTCCTACAGTCAAGAGCAAATCTGATTTCCCTATAGAAAATATGGTATCCATCGAGGAAGAGGCGTATTGCTCGAATTTTTAAGTATTTTTGGAGGTATCAAAATTAAGATATGTCTTAAGAATTTAGGGAAAAAGGAATTTGTGGACCTTATAGTTTGAGAATATGCGAATATCAAATTGTCGGAATTTGACGGTTCAAACATTTTGAAGCCCAAAAAGTGGACATAAATATTTGGAGATCTTGACTCTGGGAGACCTACGTATATAAAAACCTAGGGATTTAGGGATGTATGGATATAGGAATGTCAATCTAGAAATTTGAGTATCTAGATACTTGAGAATATAGGAAATTGGGATTTTGGGATTGGAAGATCTAAGATCTTCGGAATCTATGTATTTGGTAATTTGAAGAATTTTAAATTAAGAATTTCGAAATTTGAGAATTTAGTGATTTAGAAAGTACATATTCGGTTTGGAAATTAGAAAATTTGAAAAAACTTAGTTACATGTAAGTATACCTATGAAGATTAATACAACCAACTTTTTCGCAATTTTTAAACTGTAGTATATGGCATTTAATTTCGGTATTCTTTGTAATACATATTCCTCTTATAAAACTGATAATTTTGTATGAAAAACAGGAGCTTTGAGAAAAGTATTTTAGATGTAATAATAAACTTTTCACTAGTTTGATTATAACCATTCTAAAGCCATTTTATACATATGTATTCGTAACTAATTCATGCCACAAACGACGATAGGATATTACTGATTACACAAGATAACACGTCACTCAATAAGTCCCCGGTCAGACACATATATGGCGATACTGATGACAGACCCACGTTATTTTCGAATAATACTAGCTTTCAAACAGTACGTGTCAAAATTTCAGGGTATTCTGACCAATAGTTTAGAAGTTACAGTCATTTTAGTACCCCCAGTTTCGTAATTTTGAAGACAATGGATAGAAAGAAATTTCGTGTGTTGATTAAACACTGTTTTTTAATCGGAAAAAATACTGTTGAAGACAAAAAGTGACTTCATAAGCATTATAGAGACTCTGCACCAGGGAAATCAACTATCATTGATTAGTATGCTCAATTTAAACGCGGTCATACAAGCGCCGATGATGCTGAAC